TACAAAAGGAATTGACATAAACACAAATCAATATTAAAATTACCAAATAAAATGATTAAAAAGTAAATATTTATAATAACAATGACTAACATGGTAATAACAACTTAAAGAGCTAAAACAACAAAAATAAAAAAATGGATGACTAAAATAGTAATTACATAAACTTAGGGGCTAAAAAAAAGAAAACACAACAACTAAAGGGATGTAAATAGCACAAACATAAACTTAAAGGACTAAAATAAGAAAAACATAAATTTAAAGGACTAAACAGTAATTACGAAACAAACAGAGCCCAAATATAAAACATTAAAATACAAGTACTAGAAACCAAAATAACCCAAAAATATTATTAAGGACTAAAATAAAATGAAAGTAAAACATGCAAGCCATATTAGTATTTAACCCAATATAAAAGCAGTGCCCAAAACACATCAGAATCAAAGTACAGGGATTATAAACATAAATAAAACATGTATTTATTTTATATAGTAAATAATGACTAAAATAATAAAATTAAAAATATTATGCCCAAATTCAAATATCCATAACAATACACAAAACACCAGATCAGTAACCAAAATGAAATAATTACAAACATTGTTCCCAGAATTAAACATTTACAAAAAATAATATAACCATACTAATAGGACTAACAAATAAATATAGAAAAATAAGTGCTTAAAATAGAATAAAGCAAAACATTTCATCATGATTAAACAAAAATATTACAAAGCCCGGGGGACTAAACGTGTAGTTAATCCACACGTTGATAACACGCATGCCCTGACCCCTCTAAACGACGTCGTTTTGAACAGTGCCAAAACGGCACCGTTCTGACCCGAGTACTTAAGCCCAAAATGAGGCTTCAACTCTCATCTCCCTCATTTGCCTCTCTTCGAAAAACAGAGGGGAGTTAGAGAGTTTTAAACTCTCTCAACTCCCCCAACGGAGAAAGAAAAAAACCCTCACCGCCGGTGGCGCCTCACGGCGGAGCACGGCTGCCCACGGTGACCGGAGAGATAAAATCACCAAAAGCTTCCTCTCTCCACCCTCAACTCGAAACCTGAACACGTTTTACCCTATAAACACCCTTAGAGCCTCATATCTAAAAGGGTTACCTCTCGAAACGACGAAACGCCGGCGACCCGTAGGCTTCTCGACGAGTTCTGACCAAGGTAAGGACCCTTTCACTCTATTTTTTTTAGTTGTTGGTTCGAATGGGTATTTTTCTTTTCTTTTTTTTTCTCTCTTTTCTGGAAAAACCGAATGAATCCCCCTCTTTTTCGTTCTCCCTTTATTTCCTTTTTTGTGATGGATTTGATGATGATGATATCTAGAATAGAGGTATGGGTCTCACTGATTTTGCAGGATAAAATCCCGTAAAAATTGGGACTTAGGTTATATTTTATTTTGGGGTTTTCAGACTTGGGGTAAGTTTGATACACTGTTGATGACATTTGCTTCACTGTGTGACCAGATTGCTGATGACGACCGGCTCGGGATTCACCATCGGCGGCTCAAGCATGGCTGGGAGATGGAAGGCCAAACAGCTGTGGCGGTTGGTTGTCAACGGCGCGGCTCACGCTTCTCTGGGAAGCTGGAACATCGAAGGCGGCGGCGGCTGGATGATGATATGTTCAGGGTTTAAAACCCTAACCTGGGGCGATCTGGGCCGTTCATCATCCTCCAGATCTGACGGTAGATGTTGGAGGCGGCTGGGGAGATAGGGTGAAACCCTAGCAATGTTGGGTCAACTGTTTGGGCCGGTTGTAATGGCTTTGGCCTGCCAAAATATGTAAAAATATAATATTAATAAAATAATAATATAAATATAAAAATAATAATAATAAAAAAGACCCGGACAAAAACGGGTGTCTACATATATAATTTTAGGTGATTAAAATATATGACGATTTAAATTTTTAACAGTGATTCTTTTCACTCGCCTTCTTCAATCTATTCCTTACTGAATTTCACATGAACTTGTCAAAGACCCCACTAACAGTCCTTTGAATTTCACATGCATGTATACTTTATTTTTCTTTTTCATACTTGAGCAACCTACTTATCAATTACATTTTGTTTATTTCAAAGGGTCACCTCTTTTGTTGAACACCGCACATTAAAAATCTAGTGGTTGGATTAAACAAAATCGGCCAATGGAAATCTTACCAATGTGATAGAATCTGCAACATTATGTCAAACTGCTTTCAAAACCAGACATGGAAAGCAAACACGTGGTTGTGTTACGAAGGAAGAGGACAGTTGATCTGATGCAATATAAACAGTGCTTAATGAATCCTCCGTTTTGTTTAAGTTGTTAATCATCATTTGAAGAAGGTATTAAGGGAGAGGACATGACCAAAGCAAGAACGGGGATATGCTTTTTTCTTGGTTACTGTTAATTACGATGGAACACACATGAGGCCACATGCCTGTGGGGTCCTTGTAAGCAATCTGATTCCAGATTTACTATTAGCTAGCGACTCAACTAGGCAGGAAAAATATCCCATTTTTCTAATTTTCTTTTCTTTAACTTTTCTCTCAAATTACAACCTGTATTGAGATAGAAAGATGGAGACCAGATGATTCGAGTTTGCTCATATTTTCCTCTCTAACAATCGATCCTTTGGCTGTTTGGGGTTATGTTTTTTTCAACTGGTATGCATGTTAAATAAATAATCATCTATTAAAAATATGAATCGAGTAATATAGATATAAAAAACGTGATATGTTTATGTTGCTACCTTCATCTTTGTGTCTTGTCTGCTCTTCTTTCTACAATATTTGGGGTTGTAAATTGACCAACAATCATTTGTCTAGTATCTCAAGGCTGTAAAATTTGACTAATCACACAGAGAAATCTTGTAGGGGACCCTTTGTCTTCATTGTGCACTTTAATTTCTTCACACAATCTAGAAGCAATGATGAACATTCCGATGAGATATATAGCAGCCCCCGTTAAGGGCACCTGGACCACCAATGAAAACATTTTAACACCAACATAGAGTTGTTCCTATAATTGTTTTAAGGAGTCCAGACTCCAGGGCCTTACCCCCATCAAGCTAATTTTTTTTCATCACTCACTAGTGCAAACGCAAATACACTGCATGTACGACGAGTGAGTTTATTTCTTGTCTAATTGCACCATCAATTATGAACTACCATAGCTTTTTAGAACTACCATCAATAATGGACAGATCATCGTTTAACCACAGGCAACTGTGTCTCTACGTTCAATTTAAGATGGGTGAAGTGTTTACTGCTTCCACAAACCCATTGTTCTTATCAACGATTATATATTTTCGTATCTGTGTTAAGAAAATTTATTCAAATAATTTTATAAAATTTAAATGGTTAACATTTTCTAATACTATCACGCCTAACATCTAGGCCAACCCATATCTAACCGTCCACAGAATTTTCGGCAAAACTCGAATAGTTTCTAATTCTGCAATATGAGAAGAAAGTTGTATTCTGACACGAGAGGGGATTTTTAAATGATGCAATTAAAAGGACAAACTAAGCTGCAATATTTGTCGGATATAATGTAAGTTCCTGCCCCTGCATTGTCCAATCCAAACCACCCTAATCGATGTTTTCTTGTATAATGTGCATTAACAAACTAGTTAAATCAAGTTAATTTGTTTTGCATACTAATTATTATAGATATTTCAACAAATAATCTAAAGATTCTCTCAAATCTTCAGTATAGCTGGAAGTTTACTGCAAACAGAGGTGGATTCACATGCAGATGATCTGGTTGCTTCTTCCTTTCTTAATTCATAATAAATAATTTCCCCTTTTGTTGCTTTTTTCTTCTTCTGGTTACTTGGTGGAAAAGATAATTCATAATTTCCGCAAAAGAAATTGATATTATTTTTCTTGTTTGTCTTTAGAAAAGATAGTCTCACACACTTCTTTTATTGACACAATTATCAAATAAACTAAAGTAAACCGCCATGGCTGTAACGTAGCTTCATCCATGGAGGTTTATTCAGGCTTTCATAATTAAAGACGGGCGGAAAGTAAACCAAAGTAGGGCTATCCATGTCCGCCATCCAGTCTTCGCCTGCATAGAATTTTATTCAGGCACCTGACAAAAGAAGGAATATATTTCTTTTTCAAATTGAAAAGCAAAGGAAATATCAATACTGAAATTAAAAAATATGTGAAAATGGGTCATAATTATCAAAGCTTTAGAGTTGGCTCTGCCTAAAGAGATTCCAATCAATATACAATCAATCACGTGTTTCAGAACATACATGAATACTTCTAAAAATATAACAAGTAAAAGCTAAAGGCAGAATGGTGCGTTTAGCTAAGAGGTGACCAACAGTCTTTCAAACGTGTTTGACCAACTTTTGTCTTAAAAGGAATATTATTTTATGTCGAAATTTTAGATTCTAACAGTTATGTTTGTAGAGTTAATACCTCAGGTAATTCTAAAAAACAAAAGATAATCTATTTATTTCATACCTCTTAGATAAAGTCATTTATTCTTATATTTTTGTTGTAGTCATTAAATTATTTTTTGATAAAATTATATCTAAAGTTATATTTTTTTTATTTTAATTACTTTTACAACATAGAGAATGATCAAGTAGATTGAGTCAATACATGTTTGGATGCTGAGAAAATAAGAAAAACAATAATCTTCAACATTTTCTTTCAACATAAGATCACTTTATAAATTCCAAGTCAACTTAAATCTAAAATTAAAATAATATATAAAACTAAAACTAAATTGATCCAATTTAAATAGACTGGGCCACGACCCGCCAAACTCACATTTGTCTAAAAGTACTGATCATCTTCCTGCGTTATCTAGAGTCTAAAAATGCCAATTTTATTTCTATTCATGTACCAAACACTTGATATGTCATTGACTATACACATTAGCACACGAATGAAACATCAAATAAAATACAAGGAACAAGTCAACATTGTAACTAAAGAAACGTTAAACAAAAGTCAAATTTACTTTGCCCTAGCTAGGATTACTCTGATGGGCTCTGCAGCGGCTCCATCTGATCAAACATGTCAGCTGGGAAATCATCGAAGAATGCATCTGGGGTCATTGGGTTCTCAATTTCTTCTTTTGAACCAAACCCACTACTTGTCACTGCTTCAGCAAATGTCTGCTCCATGTTCAAATTTCCACTGTCAACATCCATAGGACCAAACACTTGAGAAAAGTAAGGGTCCTCGAATTTAGCCAAAAGGTCCTGGCTTTCTAGTGGTAATGTGAGGCACGGTAGGGGCTGCGGCATGTGTGGGAAGAAAACCTGAGATTGAGCCTCGGCATATAGGATTTTCCTTCGAGACATAAGCTCAAGCTCAGCCATGTTTGCATCGGTATACAACTTTGGATTCACAAGTTCCTGGAATTGCTCCAGTTTTATAGTCGTCTGAGAGTTATCAAGGTAAGATGGTGAGCAAGATTGTCCCTTGGAGTATGATAATTCCTCCATTGATGAGCTCAACTTCGGAGCCTTGAATTTGACCCAAAAAAACAACATAACCATCACACACACACCATAAAAAAGGATTAAACATTTTATCTAAACCACTCAAGATTCGCTCTTGTTACAGAATAAACTATGATGAATTGACGACACTCTTTAGTGTAAGTGAACAGAATTTTCCTAATAAATATTATTCTTTGAGTCAATTAATCAAATGCATTGTGTGGAATATTATAATTAGAAAATGAAAAAAGTGATTAAGATAGATAGCCCCAGAAACCACTGGAAATTGAAGAGATCGGAATAGGTTTACCTCCATAACAGGAACATCATGAAAGCCAGGGATTTGCATTTTTACTTTGAGTGATCTGGAGGAGGAAGAAGAGGTTGTCCCTGAATTCTGCAAAATCCTAGCCAGTCTCTTCTGCCTACTGCTCCAAAAATTCTTCACGTCATTGTCAGTCCTCCCGGGCAAATACGTAGCAATTTTAGCCCATTTGTTCCCAAACTGTGCCTGCAACTCTATCACCACCCTCTCTTCCTCTTCCGTAAACTTACACCCACTACGAAGATTCAAACAAAGAAAAGGAGAAAAAAGAAAGAAATGCATGTAAATTACAAACAAGTAGTAGAAAATGGAAGTAACAGAGTAGTAGGGTTTACTTCTTCAAGTTGGGTCTAAGTTTGTTAACCCAACGAAGACGACAAGATTTGCCAGTTCGTTGCAAAAGGCCTTTGGATCGAATGGAGCTCCAGTCTCGGGGGCCGTATTTCTTGACATGGTTGATTAGTACATGGTCTTCCTCGGCCTTCCATGGCCCTTTCCTTATCTGACTCGTCTCTACTCGCTCCCCTTCCATTGCCCAAATGAAACTACACGAGGGAAAGGCGCCTTCTCTTCTCTGTTTGAAGGATTTTGGATAATGAATTTGGTCTGATATATACTTATTTTTAATCTGAAAATCTTCTTATAAATTGGACTCTTCTTATCTTTGGTTTTTTCTCTTTCTTTCGGTTAAGACGGTTACTGCCACTATCCTCCGCCAATCTCCCCACGTTCCCAATTTCCTTTTTCTCTCGTTCAAACATTGTACCTAATTTACATTTATACCCTCCGCCCCTTCACATTTTTCATCATCATCGAAGCTTGAAAGCCTGTAATTAAACCTGCTCTGGGTCCATAGTACGGCTCGGTCAAGGTTTGGATTTAGATATTTGACATTGGTCGGCACATTTTTGCTTAATTTAACATTGTATTTTATTATCTTCAAATTAGAAAAATGAGTATTATGAATTGGTCGGGTACGGACCTGAAAAAAAATTAAATAACTGGAGTTGAAGAGAAGTTTAGAAATCTTATAAATCCAAATCCTCTTGTCTTTTTTCTTAATTATTAATATTTAATTTATTAATAAATAAATTTGAAATAGAAACAATCTTTCTAATCTAATTTATCATATTTACGTTATTAAGATTGAAATAGGAACATCTTATTAAAGTAACTAGTTGTCAATGGTAGAGGTGAACATGGGACCCGAATCCGACGAGTTCCAACCCGACCTGATCGGTCGGATTTTTTCAATAATGTTTTGGGTTCGAGTCGGATCGGATCAGTTTTTTTAAAGATTGTGTTTCGGGTCGGGTTTAGGGTAAAAATACTTGACTTGACCTGACCCGAGAAAAACATATAATTTTACCTTTATATTTAAGGATAATTACAATAATGTTATTCTATATATTATTTTTTTCAATAAAATCCATATTTTTATTAAATAAAAATAATATATTTTTAATAAATATATTATTTTAGGTCATATCGGGTCGAGTTCGAATTTCATCTCAAAAAATTGAGTCAAGTTTAGATCACGTGAATAGTATATATTTTTCGAATCGAATCATCTTCGAGTGAAAAATGTATAATTTTTAAATAATATCAGGCTAACCAAAAATCCGACATGATCCGACCTATGCCCTTCCTTAGTCAATGGTCTTCTTCTTTAATGTAGCCAACAAAACGTAGTGACTGGGTTTGCAGAGGTGCAAGGAAACATATTTTGCAGATTTGTAGTTAAAATCCAGTACAATCTGGAGTGGTGTACCAAGGGTCATCGAATTCATATTCTACTTGGATTTTGCTGCTCTCGTGTATCTACTAATGATTGAAGCTGGCAGCCATTGTTGATCTTTGAGGAATCAATAACAATTAAATACACAAACATGTTATGATTAAACTGCGAAAAAAGATATCCCATCATTGCTGATGTTACCTTAAGCTGGCACTGCCAGGATCCAAATTTTCATTGTATCTACCATCATTTCATTCATTTACAAATTTTATGAACAAAGATGCTACCAAGTTGGAGTTTAAATAGTATGAATAGAGTAACGTAATGATTGTTTATTTGACAAACTATGAAACTACTGTGGTCTTAATTATATTTCTTTTTTTACATATGACTTTAAATTGGTCATATCATTTTATTTTAAAATATTCTATAATTTTACGTTTAATTATTAAATTAAAACCCAAACATATAAAAGTGAAACTATTATTATCTAGAATAGTGTTAGGACTAGAAAGAAATAAGAAAATAATGGAAAGGTCGAATGGTAATTTACTAGGTTTAAGGGTATCCCAATGATTGAGGTGTCTCGTGGAAATGGAACAAGATGACAGTGCACAATAACAAAAAGGTATGGCCACGTGTCATGTCCCACCCCCTTCATGCGTGGCAGGCTGCACGTGCCTTTCCACGTGAATCCTCTCAAACTTTGGCTGGCATTTTTATATTAGATTTATTGTTGATGTAAGTGTACAAATTATATTTAAAAATAAATTTAAGTGTTTAAAGAATTTTTTATTAGAAATAGGTGTTTAACATTATATATGTTATATATTTAGGTGTCTAATATTTTTAACGTTATATTTTTAGGTACTTTGACTATAACAGTTGTACAAAATACTATTATCTTACATGTATCGAACATAAAAAATTATTTTAAAAAATGCTTATAATTAAAAATTATTTAAAACATCCCCAATATTTATTGAAATTATAAAAAAAACTCAAAATCCTGAAAAATCCTAATTATAATCGCTCATCACTGTTAGCTACCACCAACGTCGTCAATCGACCAAAAACCCGACGACGTGCAGCTGCCTAAATCTCCATCGACTAATTCCTCATGCTTCATGTTGTGATTATAACGAAAAATTAACGATCACAGTGTGGAGAAGCACTTTCAGCCGATCGCAAAATCTTATATTTACGTGGTCGTTGGGTGTTCGATTGGTCGTGAATATAAGGGGTTTAAACCGTCCGGTGGTTGTCCGGTCAAATAACGTTGGGTGTTTGACATATTAACGACGTTGGTGGCGACAGGCGGTGCTAAGGGATTAAAATTAAGGTTTTAAGGGGTTTTAGGGTTTTTTTGTAATCTTATAAAATTTTGAGCTTTTAAAAGAATATATTATAATTTTAAGCTTTTTAATTTAAATAAAAAATTAAAATTTTATAAACATGACACTCGTTATTTACAATTGAATTTAATAGCCTTATAGTTCAGGCACTTAAAATTGCAACGTTGAAAACGTTAGGCATCTATTTTTAATAAAAAAATTATACACTTAAAATTAACTTTAAGTATAATTTGATGACTTATTTTTACTTTAATCTTTTATATTAATATAAAGTTAACCTTGTTTCCTCCCTTACCTAAACACTATAATAGCCTTGGTAATCATAGTGTTGGCTATGCTTAAGATGCATGAGCTTTGCCAATTGCCACTAATAATTTTGTGCACACGGCCGCTAAATCGATCTTCTCTAAACCACCTTTTAAGAAAATAAAAAGAACATATAATAAATAATTTTAATGGTAAAAAAATATTATATTCTTAAAAAATCTAGAATTCGAATAATAATATATGTGAGATATATAAATTATCAATAATTAAAAAAATTAAACATATACTATCTTATAATCATACAAACTATTCAAAAACAAACATATAATTTAAAACATGATTTATTGATAAATAAACTCTCAATTTTTTTTTTTGTTCTTGGTTACAAAAGAAGAGCACTACAGACACAGTGTATAAATCAATTTAGTGGACCAGCCCTGTCAAGGTTGAGCAGGCGACGAATTTCGTGAGGTGGGTGTTGGAGAGGCAACAGTCTTAGCCTCCCATTTCGATATACCCTAAACTTCGAACTGTAAATTTTAAACTTAAAATCTAAATTTGTATACCCTAAACTTCAAACTTTAAATTCTAAACCTTAAATATAACACATATCATTCAAATAAACATGGCTATGTAAACTTTAGTTTACACAACATGTGTATAAGATAATTTTTCATACACAATTACTCTAATACAAGATTTGCTTTGATTTGATTGAAAATATGTTGGAGAAACAACAAATGAATTGAGCAGAGAATAACGAAGAAGATTTTTCTGGTGAAGAAGTCCGATTTTTAAAGATAAACATTTTTATATTTTTTAAAAATATTACTGTTTTCAATCAATTTTAGATTTTAAAAATATTGTTCAGTTTGAGAATATTTAATGCTTTTTATATATTTTAATTTATTTTTTGTTATATATTTTTAATACTTTTAATAAATTATTAATTAAAAATAAATAAACTCTTGAATTTTTTAAAATAATCAACCAAAGCTTTTTATCATATTATAACTAATATGTTGATTGTTACGTCGACTATATTAATGATTGTGTCAAAAAAGTTAAGTAGTTAACGATTGTGTTAGTGCAATAACAATCAATAATGAAAATTTTAATTAATTTTTTTTGTCGAGGTCTGTTATAAAACCCAATAAAATGGGAAAAAAATAAAATTATAATTATTTTTGGGTAAATTACATAAATATCACTACCCTTTTAAGGTGTTTTTATTTTTGTCGCTAATTTTTTTTAAAACTTATAATACTATCATTGAACTTTTAATTCGCTTTAATTATGGCCACTATCATCAACTCCCGTTAAGAAATGTTGATAAGGAACATAGGAATCATCTACTTTCCTAAAAACCTTACGTTTCTCATACTAATGTCAGTCATTGCCTCCTTTCATCTGCAGTCTCATTGTCTGGTGTTTTTTTATTATCATCGTCACTAAACACAACGCTTATCATACTCAAAAGTTTCATAATCATTTTATCCAAATCTCAATACCAATCGAAACTTCCTCACCATCAATGAATTCTTCCATACATAATCGTCGACATCAAAAACCTTTGAAGTGTAGCAACTTCATCATTCCTCTAAGGAGGGAAAAACTCTAAGTTCTGATAAGAACTATAAGCAAAATATGCCCACTAATCAAGCTTAGAATTATCATTGTTCTCACAATCTCCATATCTCCAATCTCATATCTACCTTAATCTATTGAATCCAACAAAACAAAATCCTTAAGTATTTTATATACTTGTCAAAAGAATCACCATCATTTAAAATATAGATGAAATTATGGTAAAGCTCTTAAGAAATGACCATCCAGTTCAGTTGGTAGAGCACAAGGTTTTTAACTTTGAGGTCGTGGGATCGAGTTCCATGGAGGGCATTTCATAATTCGGAGGTCTCCTACGGAAGTTGCTCTCAACCTAGTGTTGGGGGCAGCCTACTATCTTACCTTCCCCTTACTCCATTACATATGGGAACAAGGGATAACCATTTTATGGTAAAGCTCTTGAGTATGATATATCTTCTGTTTAGTGAGAACAATGATCGAAAAACGTCGGAAAGTGATTGAGTAGGTGAAAAGAGGTCACAATGACTACCATTAGGCCGTGAAACTTGGGAATTTTTTTTGAGGGGGGAGAAGACGATTCTAATGTGCCATATTAGCACTTCTTAACGGCAACTGACGATAGTGGTCGTATGCGAATTAAAAATTCAATGACCAAGATGCAAACTCTCCAAAAATTCGGTGACTATTTATATAACTTATCTTTAATTTTTAAAAATAATTAGTGATTTTTTTAGCCCTTAATCGAAAAATATATAAAAAACCAAAAAACTTCTGCATTACGTGCCCAAAGAGGATCTTAATCATGATGATATAATGCTAAGAACAAGAAGTAAAAAAGATAAAGTAATAATTTGAATGTCTTCATCAATGCATCATCATTGCCTATATGCTGCTAACAAACATCATAATTGTTATGACCCTCACCACTAAGTTTCGAGAATTATAATGATCTTTGAACCAGCAGGAACAGCCATGGCCCAACAGAGTTTGAGTAACAAGAAAATATATATGATAGTATTAAATTGTAACCGTTAATTAACTAGTATAATGATATATTTAATCGTGTTTAATGATTTGATATGATCGTGAATCCAGGAGATTGTTAAGGATTAGAATTAGGACCAAATCACGTGGAGAGGGACGGTGCATGGTGGGGAAGTGTCGGCTGCTGCTGGAATCCACGATAGCGAGGAAACACACGTGGAACAGCTAGCTTGTGTACGTGAGGTTAACTTAATCATATAACCGACAATCTCCCTCATTCTCGAATCATTGTGCTAAGTTCCCAACCCCCCCCCCCCCACAAGTTGAGCTCATCTCATCATCAATCATCTTATATTATATGTTTAATCCCATAATCATGTAATAAAGATTTCATTATTTAACGGTTAACACAATACTAACTACTGTGTTTAAAGACTTCATAATAATTCATTGAGTGGTTTCAATAATTAGTAGAATATTGTTCTCTTTTGAGATTTTAGACTTAAAGATTTCATTATTTAACGGCTAACACAATACTATCTATTGTCTTTAAAGACTTCATAATAATTCTTTGAGTGGTTTCAATAATTAAGTAGAATATTGTTCTCTTTTGAAATTTTAGACTAGTAGTTGCGTCTGTAGGATGTATATACGTTGCCAATTAGTGATCAAAATAAAATCAAAATGTAATATTAAACATAATTTATAAAAAAAAATAATTGAATGATCAAAACAAAAATTAAATAATAGATAGGTGACCAAATATCTAGTTTACCCTTGATTTTAAAGCAAGTCTTGAATGTTTAACTCAAACATATATCTCACATTTATTAAAATTTCCTTCATCTAGATTACGGTTCTTAGAAGTGAATTTATCTTTATTGGTGTAACTGTTAAAGTAGACATTACACTTTAAGATTTGTACAGTTTTTAAAAATTTGTACATTCGAAGTTTGAAGTTGATAAAAGTTGACAATACTCTTATCAGAAACAAAAAAATTTATTTCGAAAAATATTTTTCCTGATGATCGAAAAATGCTCAAAGTAGATAGGAAAATCGTGTAGTAGTCAAAATATTGAGAGAGTAATGAGATAGTCTTTTTTGTGTGTGTTCATAACGAGCAAAAACGTTCTCTCTCTATAAGCTAAAAAAAATTAGATTCACAGGAACCAAGTGAATTTTGTGGTAAAAAAGTTATTGTTATACCTTAAATATTCGGGTTCGAGCACCATAGATGTTAGGGGTGTGAGCGTTTAATTTTGAAATGTTGAAAGTGTTTTTTTAAACATATATTATCTTGTACTTACCTAACTTATTTAAAAAAAAATAGATTCAGAAAACGTATGATAAAAAGAGAATTAATTTAAGCGGTTTACATTGGCTACTGGAAACCGTAAAAAGACTAAGTTATAATTATCCATAAATTGTTGAAATGAGTCATTTAATATACGCAAAAGTGTAAAAAGAAGATAGAATTTTGAGTCTCTATATATATACATATTTGAAGGATCAAAAGACATATTAACTGACCCTTATTCTCATATGTAATAGATTAAGGGGAAGGTAAAATAGTAGGCTGCCCCCAACGTCAGATTGAGAGCAACTTTTATGGGAGACCTCCATATTATGAAATTGAATTAAATTTAAAAGATTTCTCAAAATAATAAGTATGCAGTTCATCTATACGAAAACTGCATACATCCACCCCTACATACATACGAGAGACTTGTCCTATATTATTCGACAAAGAAGAGAATAAAATACTATAAATCGCTCGACAAGACTATTATCGCTCAATATGGAATTTTACATTCTTTATACATCAACAGAATCAAAACTTTGATATCAATTAAAATTTCGTTTAAATAAAATTTATCTTAACGTTAATATATTAGCCGATTAATTACTTTCAAACTTCATTTGGTAAGAGAATTATTTTTTTAACACATTTTAATATACGAATTAGTAATAAATATTTTTAACAGTTCTCATTATTTTATTTTAATAAAAAGTAATTTATTTATTTTAGGATCTGATTTTAACTAAAATGTACATTCCATAATATTCGTTTCAAATTTAAATTTATACGTATTCCTTTAAATATCACGACAGAGTATTGTATCAAAATATTTGATTTGCAGAACTTGGCAAAGCTGGGAACGAGAGTGGCGCGTGAAGTTTTGAAAGCTGACTTGGAGAAACATAAAATCCCGGAAAGAGAGAGGTATCCAATGATTGTAGTGGACAAGTGGGTGTCTGTCTGGTCGTGTAGAGGCAAAAGTGACACGCACGAGCGCCATCTTGGGACCATGTATCGACACGTGGCTAAATACCCACATGGCCGTGCACGTGAACTCATGTTTCCCTCCCACGTGACTCAACCCCCATCCTATCTGTTTCTTTATCCCTCTTTTCAACCCTTTCGGCCTTCTCTAACCCCCAACTCACTCAAAGCTTACCATGGTATCATCAAATAGTATGTTTTCATGGTAAAAAACCAAACTTTTTTATTTAGTTATTTGTGAAAATACGTGCATGCATAGATGGATCAATTGCACGTTAAAAGCAAGAGTTGATTCAAGCTGAAGCTTAAGCATGACTGAAAATTAATGATTAGTCGAAGTTGAAGGGATCCTCTTGTCGATGAGAATCAAGGCTTGTATGGGATTCAAAAAGAAGCTAGCCCTGCATGTGATGGCGCATATATATATTTCAGATTTTTACAAGATTCTGTAGGTGGTCGACTTTGGGACTAACATTACATTACATGTAAGATGCGACCCATGCATATTAAACAGTTTAAATCAGATACAATTTGAAATAGAAACAAACATAATATTTATTGTAAACAAGAATAAATTTTTAAAATTTTTAAAAATGAATTTAAGATAATTTAAAAATTTCAATATTCCATGTCAATCTATGATTTAAACATTTCTATAAATTGAAACTCATATTCTTCAGATTTAATAGTGCTTCTCAGAGTTTTGATTTTTGTGTGTGATAGTAGAGCCCTAAAGGGTACTTGATAGCATTCAAAGGTTGAGGAGATTGCTTTGCAAATGATTACCTTAATGATCTGGTTCTTTATTTACTTAACGCGCGTGGCACAGCGTGTGGGGGGTTTGCAGCATCTTTAGTTGTCCCATTAGTCAACGGTTAACGAGCGAAAAAGCCGTTTTTTAAGCCACGTCTTAATAGTAATAATTAACAGAGAAGAAAAAATAGAAAAACCCTTCGGACAAGACTTTAACCGTGGTTAAAAGGAATTAACTTTAATAAAAATATCTCAGTTACAAGTACCTTTTTTTCCGTTTCAAAAACCAGGGTTAAATCTGAACCATGGTAACCCAGGTTGAGTTAAGTCATGCAAGAGGAAGGAAGAAAATAAGCCATATATAATATGATTGAGTTGAGCCAATAGAGTCACTGACACAAGTCATGATTGAATCTATACCCATCTGTCTATTTCTCTGGCTCTGTTATATCTCTATATAAAGTCCCATCCTTACGCTGTTCTGCTGCACCAAAACCAAAAAGGCTGTTGTTAAGACCACCTCTGGCTGCTAAAGCTCAAGTCATTTTCTACCCTTCTTTTCTCACGCTTTGCGTTTTCTCAGAATCCAAACACTCGAGGGAGGGAAAGGGGAAAAAACCCAGAAAGGAGGAGGTTAAAAAGCTGAGAACTTTGGTCGGTTTTACTCGGGAAAGTTGAGTTTTTATTTTTCGTTTTTGGTTGGCTTTGGAAGACTAAGAAGAAGAGATATGGGTGATAATGATGACGGTTTGGGGTTGAGCTTGGGATGTGCTCAAAATCAGCCTTCTTTGAAGTTAAATCTCATGCCTTTAGCTTCGCCCCGCATGCAAAATCTTCAGCCCAGGAATACTTGGAATGAGCTGTTTTCGTCTTATGGTATTTTCTTGTCCCTTAACACCTTCGTTTTTGTAAAACGGTCGACTTTGAAGGAAACAATACTTGAAACAGTTTCCTAGTGTTTATGGCATGTTTTATGGCCAAAGTTTTTACGCTTTTCCCAGTTTTTAGAAACATTAAATAATAAGTCTTCCCATCTTTACGTTGCACATCCTTTGTATATTCACAAATAATCTTTAAACCTCAATACTGGACAGCATCGCACTGCTATTGGTTTTTTTTTTCTAGTAACTTGTTCCAACACCACGGTATTCACGATTTGCTGGCCATCGGCTCCACGGATTCAACTTTTTGAGGTTGATGAAATGAATATTATTATGATTCATGAATATGCATGCAGATCGACACTTGGATACAAGGTCATTTCATCGAGGAATCGATGTGAACCGGGCTCTCACAACTGTCGATTGCGGGGAAGAAGGTGGCGTGTCGTCGCCTAACAGCACCATTTCTAGCATAAGTGGAAAGAGGAACGAGAGAGAGAACGTGGGTTATGAAACAGAGGCCGATAGACCTTCTTGCTCTCAGGCTAGCGATGATGAAAATGGCACTGCCGGGGATTCCTCCAGAAAGAAACTCAGGCTTTCCAAGGAACAGTCCTTGTTGCTGGAAGAGACCTTCAAGGAACATAGCACCCTTAATCCGGTCAGTGGCATTTCTGCAATGGAATTTTTTTAGGGGTTGTTTTGTATTTTGTTCTTGATGGGAAATGTTGATATTGTGTAGAAACAAAAGTTGGCACTGGCAAAAGAATTGAATCTGAGGCCTAGGCAAGTGGAGGTTTGGTTCCAGAACAGAAGGGCCAGGTGAGTTGTCAAGGGTATTTTGGGGACATTGTGAAAGGGCAGTTAACCATTTTTGAAGCCTTGAAAGACCCTCTATTAATGGCTTTGATTAGGATAAGGTGTCCTATTTGGCTCATGAAAATCTTTTAAGGGATTCTGCTGTTGCTTTAAGTGTTACATGTTTAACTCATCTCTTAGAATTAATGCCCAAGTGATTAATGATCGTTCTGATATAGAATTAGAGTAGGTTTACCTGTTAGCCTGATGTCAAATCTTTAGATTCAGTAGGTTCTCAGGTTGGGGTTTGGTCATCAAATGTGATGAACATGACTGCAATTCTAGAGAACTGGTTTTAGCAAAGAAAACGGCAAAAAGATTTTCTGGGTAATTGTTATCTGGTGTTACTTTTTGTGGTGGTTTTGGTAGGTAAATAGATGTCTATAGGAAGAGCTAGGGGACCCCCATGAAACAAAATCTGGAATAAATTCTCTCAAATGCATGGATTTCAATTGGTGCAGGACAAAGTTGAAGCAGACGGAAGTTGACTGTGACTATCTCAAGAAATGTTGCGAGAATCTGACGGCAGACAACCGGAGATTGCAGAAGGAAGTGCAAGATCTTAGAGCATTAAAATTATCCCCACAGCTGTACATGCACATGAACCCTCCTACTACACTCACTATGTGCCCGTCTTGTGAGCGTGTGGCGGTTTCTTCTTTGTCATTGACGCCAACCTCTGCGGTAGCTGCCTTGTCCGTCCCCAACCCTACTTCAGCCATTTGGAACCAACAACAGCCGTTGCCTGTTAGTCCTTGGGCAGCAATGCAGATTAGTGATCGACCCTTTAATCCGGCCTCTGCATCTAGATCCTAATCACATATATAGTCAATGGTGGTGGGTACTGATTAGGGTACCATTTTTATTAAAGCCTTGTTTCTTTTTGGACTATAAAAAGGGGATGTAAAGGGTGGAGTAGTGATAGATGCTTATGTTTATCAACAAGGAGGGGAAGGAGATAAGGAAGTGTGACAGAAGAATCTGGGTTAATATTGTTATGATGTTTTTTTTTGGAAGGCAAAGGTGAGAAGCAGAAATGAAAGGATGGGGATAACATCAACAGATTCTAATGAATGAATAATAAAGATATGGAAAGATAAGACTTTGTTTTAACCCTTTTGTTAACTTATTGGTAGCTTTTTACATGTGAATTGTTGTCCAATGAAACTTTGGTCAGATTCCCATTTCCAGCTGTTTTTTATGGTTCTGTCACAACTCTTTTCGGCAACAACCAAGACTGCAAGGTTTTGGCTGAAGTTAAACCTCAAAGGACTCGAATCAAATCTAACTAATTCCTATTGATTTTTTTATCTTGTCATATAATGCATTCTCCGGTTTTCAGGGAAAAGGATGCTATCAGCCTCAATCATCATTGAACTTTAAATGGAAATGAAATGATGGTATTTGCCACTAATCAATTCTATGTAGCACTGCCTTTTCATTTTGGTCCTATTCCATACAAACAAGTTTTGGCAATCGATCACTTCAAAAAAAAAAAAGTTGGCAATCGATATTTAAAAAAAAAAAAAAAGTTTTGGCAATCGAAATAGAGAATTTAAGAGAACCCTGTACATGAAATGATTTACAAGGCTAGAAATTATAATCTCAGAAGTACTCCTTTAAGACCAAAAATTGAACACTTTGGGCTTTTCTCAGCAATCTGACAGCAGAAGTTTCCTGTAGGCAAAAAACACAGCAACATGAAGATTTCAAGTTCAGGAAGCGGCTGTTATGGTGAAATAAACTTCAAATGTATTCAATCCTAACAACTACATTAGGATCCAAGTCCTCAATAATGCACTCAGTTTCAACAATGAACAACTATTGTCATTATTAGTTTCAGGTCTACAATAACAATTAATTTATGGTCGGTTAAAGATCATATTTATAGAAAAAAGTAAATTAAGTGCACTTATTTTACCTTGAATTCAGTCAAAAACAATGTATTAGAAGTAAAACGTTTCCTACAATGATAATAAATACTACTTAGCTTATAGATAAGATCATCTCCACTCTATTTTCTCTATCTAAACTCAAGTCTCCCGTTCAATTCTCGAATTCTTGTTTTTCTTACAACTTCATCACAATCAATGAGTAACAAGATCGATATACATAAATAAAAAAGGGAACAGTAAACGGAGAGGAAAACAGCTGATTCACAGGTAATGTGATTTGATAAGCAAGCATCTCCTACTACCTCGAACTGAAAAGTTAGATATTTGTATTATTAATTTATTATAAATTATAGTTTCTGACTCTAATCATTCTTCAATTTGATCAGGCTTCAAAACTGAAGTGATAACTGTAGACATGGAACAAAATTTGTGTTTCTCATACACGTGCAGTAATGAGGAGAAAATGCCAAGGGAAGAAGGGCCAATTAGAGTCAAACTGTATTCACAGTGTCTGCAAGGGAACACAGTATGCATCCAAAACCAGCTTTCTCCGTCAGCTTCTCATGGATCTTAAGCAACGATCACACGTGGCGGGATCTCCGGTTGACAATCCTCTATATACATACATTGAAAAACATAATAGTCATCGTCGTCATTGATTCTCGATATCAAACACGCAAACTACAGATAATGTGCCTGTAAGGAAAGCTATTATTTCCCCAAAGCTTCTAATTCATCAGGCAATATTCAACTATGGGAACAATCTAGTCTTAGATCAGAAAGCAAATCTGTCATTTGCAACATCCTCTATAAACTAACATGGTTTACAATCAAACTGTTAATCAGTATACATAATAAAAGAAGAAAATTTCACGACAGCATAATCCAATGGATGATAATCGTACTCACTTCATAAGAATATCATGGTACTTGGGATCTAAAGAAATGAGCATTCCTTCAACATCTTTACAGCCATTAACGCTTTATGCACAATTGTCCAATTCGCAGACTGCAAAAGTCAAAATCAAAAAAATCAAAATTTTAATTCTTTCTATAATTAAACAAAAGAAATTGATTTTTTTTTAAAAAAAAGTTCGTTTTTTTAAATACCAAACCTTTTAGCGCTCGTCTTGGGGAGGAGAGTACTCTAGTGCTGTTTTAAGAGCTTCAACGGGTTTAAACCTGAGATGGGATCAAATCAATCCTACACAATTAGGGCTATTTCTATTCAGTTTCCAAAATTTTAAACGAGACACTTGATATCGGATTAGAAATTCTTACTGTTTAATTAAGTTATCGATCTTTCGATTTTCATTAGTATATCCTCTACGCTATCAGGTTCCACAAATTTCTCTACTTCAGCCATAATCGCTAATTCGCTCACTCCTCTGATCCATAAATCTCACCAAACAATTGTTTTTAAAATAAATATAATTTACGGTATTTATTTATAATAGAATATAAATTCCAAATTATTTAAAATAAATATTATAAAAACTTACATTATATCATAAATATTTAAAATTGTATGTATTTAATTATTTAAAATTGAAATTAAAATTTTTAGAAAATAAATTTAAATTTCTAATTATTTATGAAAATAGATAAAAAATTATATTTAAATTTATTTAAATAATTTTAAGGATATAATATTATTTTTTAGTTTGACGTTTTAATTGATTTTTTTAAATAAATAAATAAATAATTTTAGATAGTTATTTAACCATTTTCTTATTTATAAAATGAGAAATTATTTAATTTTAATTTAATATTTTTATAAGCTAAATAATAAATTTAGTATATATTAAATCAACTCTTAATATGATTAAGTGGTTAAATTTTTGGATATTTTTATGAAATATTCTAAGTTCGATTCATTAAATAAAATATAAATTTTAAGTTGAATAAATTAATTAAATAATAATATAAATAATAATTTAAAAATTAAGAAAATAATTAAAAAAATACCACGTCAGTTCCCTCGTGGGTACCATGAAACAAAAATTAAACTATGATTTTGAAAGAACTGAAAGTTTAAGTATTAGAATAAAATAAAACTGATAATTTAGGTACTAAATGTATAGTTTACCTAAAATATTATCCTCTTTTCCATCTACACGGCGGCGTTTAAGGTCTTTTTAACCCACAAAAGTAACGGTTTTGATTTTTTCCGCTCATTGCGGAGTGAGAATGGGAAAGGTCAATATGATAATTTACTGCAACGGCCATCAACAATAGGTATGTAAACGAACAAAACATATATGAATGGAGGTATGTTCATGTTCGTTCATTTAATAAATAAACGAACATAAACGAATACGAACATAAACGAACAATTTTTTTTTGTTCATGTTCATTTATTAAGGAATATAACTTGTTCATGTTCGTTCATTTAATAAATAAAGGAACACGAACATAAACGAACACGAACATAAACGTTGGAGTCCCTAACTTCCATTGTTCTTTCATGAAAAATAGTCTACAATACAAATCAACCAAATCTACGTTATTCTAATAAATTCGCCGACTAAAAGTTTTGTGACATTAATGTCAGACTTTAGTGAGGTTTGTTAATAATGGTCCTTTCCGTTGGCAGAGTAGAAAATTTAACAGCATGAAGATTTCGAATGGTACAAATTGGACTACAAGGCAATAACATAAATCCGAAATTCCTTCGATGCTACATATCGTAATTGATATTATTACTAAACAACCATTCAAAATTTTAACGTATATAAAGTCTACTCCACAACTAAAGGTCACACAAGAACTATGAAAACAAAAATTCATTGTCAAAGTGTATTTTCTACTTATTAATGGGTTCTTCCTGAAAAACCCATTACTTCCGCTATTACACACTTTTTCAGAAATTGCATAGAAACTTTTGTTTTGTTTTCTGACAAATTCTATTATATTTTTCTCTTTACTGATGCTCATATACTTCCGATTGTTACCTTTATCTTGCCATCTATTTCTAAAAAGAAGTATGATGTTTTCTTGAGTTTTAGATGTGAAGATACTCACAATAACTTTACATATCAACTATTAAGCCAAATAAAATAGAGAAAGAGATGAAAATACATGTAAACTTCAAATTTCACTATAATATAACTTGTTTTGAAGCTTTCAGCGATCGTCTCCACTATTCGGTGAATATTAGAGTTTGAGAAAAAAAAGGGAAAATGAATATAGGTGCTAGATGTCTCACCGGTTAACATATTAGATTTAATCTCCAAATAAAATTGGGTTAATTATGGAATTGGTCATCAGAATATCAGATTAATTAATATTTTTAAGATAATTACAAATTGGTCACCAAAATTGATTTAAGAAGATTGGGTTAAACATAAATGAATGAATATAAATGAATGAACATAAACGAACGAACATAACAGAACGTTCACGAACGTAAATGAACGAACGAGACTTATGTTCATGTTCGTTCATTTAATTAAACGAACACCAAATCTTGTTCATGTTCGTTCATTTAATAAATAAACGCACATAAACGAACTTCCTGCCGCACGATTCTTGAACGATTTATCAAACGTTCAGTTCATTTACAGGCTTAATCAACAATTATTACAATAATCACACTTTTGAAATCTGCTCCGTCTCTCTGTCTGACTTTACTCTCTTTGCGACCAAACTATTTTCCTTGGTTTCAAAGTCTTCCTTTCTTCAATCGATCAATATTGTTTTTTTTTCTCCTTTTTTTAATTATTCAATTTCCTCCATTTTTTTAACTCCAAAATGGGAAGCGGAACCCTTACTACGATAAAGAAAACAGCAGTAATGAAGGTGAGGAACATTTGTCCTTCATCAATGGCAGATTCGTATCCTCGCTTTACAACTGGACCCTCCACAACAAGGGCTAACATCAGCATGTGCAGGAACAATTACAGCAATAACTACGTACGTTTTGTTGGTAAGCTGTTGTTTTTCGCTTTCTTTCTCATTGCAATCCCATCTTTCCCTTCCCAAGCTCCAGATTTCGTCAACCAAACAATATTCAATAAGTTTTGGGGCTTCTTCACCTTATGTTCATTGGCATTGCTGTTTCTTATGGTCTGTTTTGTCGTATAAGTGTTGCTAATGGTAATCTTGAAGTCAATACCCAGTCGTTTGTTTCTGGAATGTTTCATGTTTCATCTATTTTTGAAGATGGTTTTAGTAATGTGATGTACTATAGTGGACAGGGTAATGCTGGGAATTTCATTGTTAAAAAAGGTGGCTTTGAAAGCCCTTATGAGGAAAATGTTGATCAAGCTTGGAGTTCTAAGTATTTTCA